TATGGGAAGGTTTGAAGTAGGGCCTGCGATCAGGAAAAATGTTGAGATTGTGGCTCATTCCTTACATTCATTGGAAAAGAAGCCTACAGTTTATCGAGAACTTTGACATTACTAAATAACTCTATCTCACTTTCCTTTGGAATTCTTAAATAATTACTATTAAATCGCGTAAAGTGTACTAGTTCCGATTATCGTGAAAGAGAAAACTTCTATAGAATAATTCGTCGGGAAATCAAGAATTCTACTACATCACTTATTTACCCCATTCCAATACAAACTCCCGGTCATGCAAATAACCATTGATTGAGTTGCGTTCCAGGTCGCGAAGATGAGTACAAGTTTAGTGTACGTTTTTCCTCTGACAAACTTCACTCCGCGATTTTGAAAAGCGGTGTGGAGTTAACTAGCAGTTCCTAATTAAATAAAGCCCTGTTAGCCTCGTATAACTCTGAAACTGTAATTCAGCCAAAACAAACGTATAATTCACGTGGTATATGTCGAGTAGGCCAGAGAGACTCGTATTCAAAAAACAATTGGAGCAATACAATGAATCCAAGTGCATCAAATGAAGGTCAGAGTCATTTTGAGAAAAAAGCTTCTAGTCAAGCAACTTTTTATCGGATTTCTCGTGCTATTGTACCCAATGTCGTTTGTCTTAACGATTTACGTATTTCTGATAAGATTTCCTATATATCTGATGAAAATAGGTGAAATGAACCAAGGTATGAACAAAATTATGGTGCAGTCTTGATAGGATAGTGTTGAAAAATCTATTATTCGAATTCTAGATTTCAGTAAACACAACAGGCATGCCGATGGAAAACAACTACAGGAACCGGGTGAGTATGTTAAGGTTGCAGAATGTATATACAACACAGTCAGACAGACACACGATGAACCTAAGAAGTACGGTTGATTACAGTAATTCATATCTCAATTTATGCTGTGGCTGATGTGATATTTGTATGAACTAATGATTCTTCTGTACTTTTCGATCCGCTTATTTCGAATTCCAAACGTATTGTGTTCATTGGTGCTCATTTGTTTCTACTTTCTGTAGATTGCACTATTTTAAGAATTCACAGTCGGTACAATAATTTACCCTTAACCTGCCCATTTGGGTTATTAGGTTGGATATATAATTATAGGACCGGAAGCGAATTTATCAAAAAGAATATACTCCGTTAAAATATTAGACTTTTAATCCGAACACTTCTAATTATCATAGTTACTCCAGTCTTTCGACCTGGGGCGGAGCCGCTGGTTAATGTGAAAAGACCTGTGCCAAATATATTCCTTCTAGTGACTGAACAAGAGCTAGAAATGTTCCAGTAAATTGGTGTTATCGAGTCTTTAAATTTCGCGGAATACGCTGCACCGATAATGATGTTTATGAAACCCTAAGACAGTGCCTCTTTGTTCGTTGATTTCCCAGCCGGTCTCAGGGGAGCCCTGGAAACCCACCAGTATCCTTCATTCTTGCCCGAAGATCTCTTTACTAAGCTGGGTTGCGGTGGGCTGTTTTGCAAATTTGAAAGTATCACTAGCTTATTAACAATTAACTTACCATTAATACACACGACTTTGGATAAAACCGACTGTATTACAGAATAATAACTGCACCGTCCATATTGTGGCGCATTATGAAAACCATGCAACAAGAGGTTCCAGGTGCTCCGGCTTATTACAACGACATTCCAGTCACGGGAGTAGTTAATATGTATTCAGTAAACAGGCCTAACATGGTTCTTTCAGCATTAGCTGAATAAGGACTCTGATACTGTGAAGATGGATTTGACTTTTGAATGAAGCTGGTATGCTAACTCGTGTTATAGCAGATAAAGACTGCGGGCTACCGATCCCCTAGAATACTGTTGCACTGAAAGCTAAAACTAAAATGATGTATATCTTCATCTCGTGATGTTTCCGTAAACTTGTTAGCTATGATGACCCCTTCCTACTTGACTTACATAAACAACGTTCACCACTGAATCATCTGGTAAAAATGTGAAATGGAGTTGGTCTATAGATTGTCAAGCGGAATTCATAAAAAATCAACAAACTGCTACCTTATGACCTTTTGTTTGACACATACAATTCTTCTTTCATTACTGTAGATGCATAAGATGCTCCAAATTACGGCATCAGAGTGGTTAACTACCGCGTCTTCGCAGACTGATGTCCTAGTGCAATCGTCAAATCGTACAATGTAAATTCGGTAGGAACTAGGAACTATTGAAGCAGACGGAGACAAATTTTGAACAAAGTGTGTGTTGAGATTAGGACACAAATTAGCCATATAAAGAGAAACGAGTGCAAAAACATTAGGCAAGCTGATCTTCACAGATAAATACGTACATCGTTCAGTATATGTCTAACCCTAATCTAAGGAGTCTTTCGCACTACGCACTTTTTCGCTAGTATTAAAGTAAGCGTGTAGATTCAGTTTGCAGTTTTTAGGATCGGATAGAAAACAGGACCAAGCAATCATTCAATCGAGTTATACATGTATATATATTTGAAAGTCTGAACTGTTTGATTTTCAAATTCAAACTGAATTGAGATTGCTTGAATATACTTCGAAATCACTGGAGGTAATGCCGAATCGACAGATAGAAGCCATAATAACACTTATACTCAGAAGCAAACTGTAATTATCTAGACTATGAGCAATTTAGTATGAGTCTATCGAGAAAGAATTTATGGCAGCATATTATGGTGGTAAACTTGTAACAGCTCAGGTTGGTTGGTTAAGAGTTGACCCCAAACAACCAAGCTTATGCCAAAACAGTATTGCTCAAATATTCACTCACTTCCTTATTTTTTATAAGCGTTATATTCTCTATTATCTTGAATGTTGAGAGCCTTTGTTTGTCTGAACAGATAATCCCACGCTCCACTGTGACTGCGCGAAGATCGAAATAAAGACTTATTCACTACTTGCCTGGTTTCTTCTATCAATAGCACGAGGGTTACTTCAAGGCACGAAAAACTATTGTCCACCATCATTTTTACCTTAGAAGCTTAACTCTATGATAATAGCATGATAAAAGTCAGACCAGCTGAGGATACCCTGTTAACTATCATTGTGATATCTCACCACATTAGATAATTCTCCACCCTTCCAAAAAGTTGACCTGGACATCTTATGTTCGTTTTTTATAGCTTTTTTCTGACGAAATTTTCAATTACCATCGTTTTTTCCCTTATTCGCTTCATGTCTACATAAATGATGGGTCCTGATACCAACACAGCCCTATTTTGTCATACCGAAGATAACATCGCTAACCATTTGGTTGCACAATACTATTGGACATTTCGACCGACCCGTAATAACTATATTGATGGAAGCTTCATCTGCAACTGCACAGGAGTTTCAGGAGTGAACCTGGGCGCTCACTTGATGTTCCGGAAACTACAGCAACCGAGAAGAAAACACCTCTTGGCCCCCATATGGTTCATTCTTCTATACTGAGAAAATAGGCTTCAATCCTGTCAACACCGCTTGATGTGATGTTCTCACACTCGCGGGCCGTCTGAAATTTGGAAGCTGGTTAACATTGTGGAGTCCCTGATATGCGACGCTTTACACGAATATTTATTATCCTTAAACTTCGTTTCATACCGGCAGCATGGTTTCAGGAAGGGTCATTCTGGTATAACCAACCTGCTGACTGCGGTGGACAGATGGATCACAAGGGGAAGGTTGACGTCATTTACTTTGACTTCTCGAAAGCCTCCGATGGGGTCAGCCATAAATGTCTCATCAATAAGCTCAAACTATTAGGTTTTAATTGATCTATAATTCATTGGCTGACTTCATATCTAAAAAATCTACGTCTAATGGTCAGGGTTTACTTCACTTTATCTCAGTCTATGGAATGTCCTAGTGGGGTCCCCCAGGGATCAGTACTGGGACCTCTTCCTTTCTTGACTTACATAAACGATCTTCCTCAACAGGTAACGTCGGACTTATTGCTTTTTGCTGATGACATGAAACTTTGGAGAGAGATACGCAACCAAGACGATAGTCCATGTGCGACATGTCGCAGGCTATAGTCACAACTTGGAAAACTCTCTAGTATTATCCCGAGTCGAAAAAGATTTGAGTCCTGGTGCCCCATGATTTAAAGTTTTACGCTGTGACAAAAATGCCTTTCGAGAAAACCTTGCACTGGTAACACTGAAGCGCATTCTTGGCAATTCTGGTGGAAGAACTTTTCATATAATCTTCAACATTTTATCCGTTCTCATTCAGAGTACGGGAACATAGTATTTCCCCTAGCTCCAAAAGGATAAGGACACGCTGGAGCGTATCCAACGGCGAGCCACGAAATCAGTTCAGGGAATCAAATTCAAGCCCTATGAAGGGCACCTCCAATCACTTAATCTCCAACTTTTGGAGAATAGGCGTCTTAGAGGTGACCTTCTAATGGCTTACAGTATCCTTAACACTTCTGGACATCTCCGTATACACCTACTTAAGTTTGGTGCCAATACAAACCTAGAAATTGGGGACACAATATATCGAAACGGACTGTAGGTGCAACTTCTACTCCTTAAGAGTTATCGACTGCTGGAACTCTCTGCCGGCCGAGCCAGTCCAATAGTTTTCCCAGGAGTCCTTTAAGAGGCAACATGATCTATTCTTAAGGTCTAAGGATAGTATCATACTATGATTTACCAATTTCTTTTTCCTCTTTTATCGTTAATATAGCTAGGCTCCTGCCTGGAGTTAATCGTGATCCCTTGCTACTAGACACGGAAGCCTGTTAAGCGAAAGCTTTTTCCATTCCGTCCACAACCATTTGAACCATTTGAACATTTACGGCTCAAGAGTTCGTTACGAAAGAAAGTATCGCTGAAATGTACATTTCCGGATGTCAGTAATACTGTGAAAAACATTTAAATAATGTAAATATTCATTTATGATTGATTTAAGAGCATACTGACATACGTTCATTATTGCATTTTATTTTGTTTAATCCTTCCACGACTCCACATTATCTTACTCAACACCTTTCGAAAATACTCTACATTTCCATTTCCCTCTATTGACTGTGAGAGATTCCCTTGTCAAATTATCACTTTGAGTTTATTTTTCTACAATAAAATGGATACTCCTGAGTTGACTGAATATGAATCTGTACCAAGTATTCGTGTCCATAAACGTGAGACAAAGCACAGGTAACCAGTATTTCAAAGAAATAAAGTACTATTCTTCAGAATATTTGTCAACCGAAGCTTGCAGCTAGACAAGATAAAGTTTTTCGGATTCGATATGGACTACACTCTAGCACGTAAGTCCCATTAATTTTCTTTTCAGAAACAACACACTTCAAACTTATAGAGTATAAATCACCACAATATGAAGAGCTTGCATTTAATATTATAAAAAACCGGCTGATAAAACTTGGCTATCCTCCGAAAACTTCCGATTTTGTTTATGATCCCTCGTTCCCGCTGAGGTTAGTTGAATCGAGTATTAAGTATAGTGTTTGTGATGCTTCCCTGTTGTTAATGTCAAATTTCCTATCCACGTACTGCAAAGTCATGTGACTTATCTTGTATTGCATACTCGGTCAAGTGAACGTCTGTAACTACAATAAGTCAAAGGAAAAAATGTCATATGTTGATCTCCTAATGGTCCATTTTGTGTGGAGACAAAATCCGATTTCAGGTATAGTGTATAATGATTGCACAGATTTCTACATTTTTATGGCTAGTTAACTTTTTAGTTTGATTGTTCGACTTAGTCCTTATTTTTCCGAGTCCCATTTAACGTTCAAAAATGCAATAAGGTATATTTCATCGATGTCCGCAACTTTGTTTCATTCATTAAACTCTAGGTGTACTCGTAGTTAGATGATAATTACCTTTCTTTTCACTTGTTAAAACCTTTTGTGTTGTCTTGTATTTTAGAGGCTTATGGTTTGATCGACTTTATGGTACTCTGTTAAAAATGGATCAGTTTGGCAATATTCTTTCATGTTTACGTGGATTTAATTTTATCCAGAGGTAAGTAGCCAATTTAAATGTCTTTATAGCATATAGGGAAGAACTTCGATCAATGTATCCAAATAAGTTTGTGAAGTACGACGAGAAACGGATTGAAATAATGAACACTTTGTTCAGTCTTCCAGGTAGGAAAATTCTTTAACCAATTTACCTTTTTAGAAACCTACATACTCTCATGTATAATCCATATGTTCGTCAACGATCCTGATTATATAAAAGTTGAGCATGGTGTCAAAAAAGGATCTCTGTATATGTCATACGCTTCAATTTATGAAGATGTAAGAACCGCTTGTGATTGGATGCATAGAGTAGGTAGAAGTATAAATTTTTCAAGTATTTCTTTCAATTACTTGTTTTTCATATGATTTTAATGATGTTGTTTAATTGGGGATATCTTGTTTACATTTTTCATTTTTCTATGGCATTCAGTGAATCTATAGCTGAGTCAATTTTTTCTGACCTCTTGCTAGTTAGTTGTAGACTATCATACGACCAACCATAGACAGATTTCATCTTGTGCTGGACAGATATTTGGAAGTGTGCATACACATTGAGTAATAATATGTAGTTTTTGGTTTCATTATAATTTCATCGTCATACATGGTAGACTGTATATATGGTTAATGCTTAGGGAATATATAAGTTGGTGACTACCTTTCACATTGACTTTGATTATGAATACAGTGGGTGTGTGAAGTTAAAATTGGAAGGTGTTAAGTACCCAAGGTTAACTTTCCAATAGGGCGTACTTAAACGTTATAGTTTTACGAGACTTCCGTTAAAAATCATTGTTCTCTTCCGTTTCATTTCAACAAATCAAAAGTCATCCAAGGTAATTTAGAGGAGTTCTGTCCGTTTATCTGAAAATATAAAGTAATTTTGAAATATACTTACAGGTTAGAAATTACTTGGATGAAACTTGGTCGGTTTAAGTCCCATAACTGCATTCTTTTTGTCTATCCTGTGCCAAAAATATTGCATATTTATTATTGTGAGTTGTCGAATCGCACGTCTTATTGTTATTTATCGTTACTAATATTGCTAATAGTCCTCTTATGTTAGTCTTAATAATTCTATCTCAGTGTGTTGATATGTGGCAAATTAGGTTGGTGTACATTTATACTGATGACTAGGTGACTGACTCGGTAATTTAATTTTTTGATCTTGATGATTGTCTAGGATAAATATTTGATGTATGATGTACGGATAATTTGACTTACGATGTTAGGTAAATAAGTAGTGCACATGAATCCATGAATTCCCTGAATTAAGCGTACTTCTCTATTGTATGTTATCTTTTTAACGTTTCTGTTTCAATGTCGTTGAGGAATCTGAACGATCCTGATACTATTGGTCCACCTTTGGTCAGTAATTGTAAAAACAGTAGGAAAAAGTACGTTGAAAGATGTTCCAATGAGAACAAGCAAAAGTAAACGTCATTCATTTATTTTCCTTATTGGATCCCCACTTTCATTCCAAAGTCCCATAATCTCCATTCTGTTGATCGATAGCGAAATTTTGGCACAAAAAATGTTTTCCTTGTTTTTCGGTAGACTAATATATTCCATTAGTACATGTGTTTATTAATTACTTCATTGAATTGTGTCGGCTATGAGACGTAAAGTAATCGTAAATAATGGTTGGGAGCCTTTTTAAAATAGTTCAAAACCATTTATTGGTGTGTGTTCATTATTTTTCTTCCTTTGGATTTAGATCTTTAGTACGTTCTTTTCTGTTTTTGTTCCTCTTCCTGAAGCTTCTATTCATGTGTTGTTGTTTTTAACTACGCGTATTTTGTTTCTGTTGTGTTAATTTTTCTATATTCTCTCATAGTGTGTTGATTTGCGTTGATACAATCCTCATCAGCTCTACATTATTTGCTTCTCAAATAGTAAATGGTTGTAGTTAAACCGGTCTGAAGTATCTATCAAAGAGCTTCTGTTTAAACTTAAACTTCATACACTAACTAGTGGATAGGGAAGAAGACAGCTAGGTCATACTCATTCATCTTAATGAATTCTAAGTTATGATTGATTAACTTAGTTCATGAATGTATCAAATGGCGATAAGATAGGTGAAATATAGATTCTGCCAAACTCAAGTTATTACTGGAACAAGAGCTCAAGTTAACACATTTAGTGACAATTTCAAAGTACACTTTAATGTCACACCTAGTTGAAAATAATTAGCTTAGCGCACGAATATTTCAGTTGACTAGAATGAGATTGCTGGTGTAGTTCGACAAAAATATTGCTAAGGTCTTCCTATTAGGTTTAAAATAATGATGATATTTCTCGATGTGAAATTCGACCATTTTGACTTCATTCTTTAACTGAGTTTCTTGTCATATTACACTATCATTGAAAAGCATTCCACTCAACTTATATTTAATAGTTCATCATTATATAAGTGTTTCTCGATAATAGCATTGTGGTTCCAATTCATTGTGGAATGAAACTGAGATTCACAATTTACTGTAATTTATTGAAACATACACCCTTTAACGTTTTTGTAAATTTTGTTGCAGGGAGAACTAAAACAACGTACTTTGGCAAATATTAGTGAATATGTCGAAAGAGATCCACGTTTATGTACTTTGTTAGATCGGTAAATTTATTTCATTCTATCTTAATCGTATGCCTAATTTATTATTGAAAAGGATCGGACTTTTTTAGACGGTAAAATATTTCATTCTGTTATTTTTTTCGTATTATAGGCTACGAGTGAATGGTGCAAAAGTGTTTTTGTTAACGAACAGTGACTTTGAATACTCTCATGTAAGTTGTTTTCCTCTTTTTTTTACCATGGAAAATCAAGTATTAATTATTTTAATCAAATAATAATCGTATTCTGATGTAGTTAAAAGCTATTGGTTAGTTCTACATCATGTACTTTTATCGTTAATTTTCCAATATTTTCGAGTTATGTGACTTGTCTTGGTGCATCTTAAAATATGAATACAGTGGTCTTGAGTGCTGTAAGAGGTATGGCAGCGGTTGTAGCTGACTGACTGATCTTAAAATATAGTCGATAAGTTATGTGTGATACACATTTGTTCTTGTTTAATTAAAGAACAGTGATTTAATTCGAATTGTTGTTTCCCTTTTGATTTTCGACTAAAATGGTTGGAGACTTTAAATTTCCGTGTGAATTTCCATTTGATGTACGTTTAATTTCAATCATTAAAGAAACAATTCTATAAAATCTTTACAGATTAATGTTTTACACCCCAATATAGACCAGCCGTTATTTTTCTACCTAAAGATACTTTAATCAACATAGAATACATAGACAGTGTTGTTCTTTTCAGTGAAAGCAATCAGCCAGTCAGCTACAATGTAGGACTAAGCACATATATGCATCATTACAAGTTGCTACACCTTATTAGCACAACAAAATGAAGACCGAATCCACAGAAGCTGTTACTTCAATGGTAGTAATATATAAAAGAAAGATTGCATATGAGAATATTATACAGGAAAAATGAATTAGTTCGTAGAAAGGAAGGTATAAAGCAGTTCTAATCTTGCGGTTTAAGGGCAGACAAAGAGTGTATACACCTACGCCACTGTGATCGATTTTGAGTCACCTCATCCAAAGTCTCCAACCATTAGTTACGATAGTCGCGCAGACTCCAAACAAGTAGTCTGTATCTACCAACATGGCTAAAACTAGAAGTTAGTAATTTTGTGGACTGATGTCACGTTTTGGTTTGGCTGCCCCTAACTTTCTTCCAACCATCATAACACTAGTCAACATTGCGCGTCGTAGTAATCGGTGTTCAGGTATACGTAACACGTGGCCCAAACATCTCAGTCGGTGAAGACTTACAACCTCATCAACTGATTTACCATCATTCTCTAATACCCTGCATCTAAATTTACCCGGTGAACCCAGCAAATGCGAGCTATGTTTCTGAGACATCGGTGATCAAATACTGGTAGCTTACGAATATCTTCTACTCTTAATGGCCACGTTTCGCAGCCGTAAATTAGAACAGGACGAACTGCCGCTCAGTATACTCATTCTTTTATTGATAGACGGATATATTGACTTCGCCATAGGTGACATAAGTTGGCAAAAGCCAGTCAATAAGTGAACTTCTTAGTAGGAGATCAATGCCAAAAAATTTAGTCAACGAGAACATTATTTTCAGGTGTATGTCTATAATGAAATTAAACAGAAATCAAGATAGTGGACAACCTTGCTCGACACCACTTGAGGTTGCAAAACCAAATGAAAGTTTTCCATAAGCTCTGGCTCGACTAGTAGTGTTCGAGTAACGAGCCTTCACAAGGTTTATATACTTCTGAGGTACACCTTTCAATGACAGACACGTTCACAGAACCTCTCCGTCTACAGAGTCAAATGCTGCTTTTAGGTCGAGAAAAACTATCGTTGATCATGTCTGTGTTCTAAGATCTGACGAATGGTGAATGTGTGGTCGATGCAGCTGTTTGGGAATGGTGGGTAGTTGTAAAGTAGCTGAAGGTTAGCTGAACTGCCCTTAAAGTGTTTCGCCCATCGTTCTTAACGTCTGAACTGAGAAAGGGATTGTGAGAATATTTAAGATGCGTTTTTTGATCTTCTGAATGCGAAATGTACCTTTAATGCAAATGTCTGAATGTTTTTTTAAAGAAATCAAGATAATTGAAGGTATCGTCAGTTATATGCTGATGTGTAGGACCTGGAACATGTTTGGTTACAATAAGTAGTTCTAAGCCAAGCATGTAGATCTGTATTTGGTTATTGAATTACATTAATTAACCAGGACTCTTACATTATTGTTCATAATTTGTAATTGCTCTTTGTGTATTTGTATCTAATTAATGAATATAGTTCCAATTTCGGATCATCATTAGATTGCTTTTGTGTTGTTTTACATAACTCTCTCATTGCTTACAGTATTCTAGAAATAAAATTTGTTAAGAAGAGATTTAATTTTTGACGTTCTCATGGGAGTTATAAAATAATATGTTAATTTCCCTATAAAAAACCTTGTGAAAACTTATTTCACACACCTTTGCATTTTAGGCAATTATGAGCTTCATTTTGGGAGGTCCAAGACCTGATGTAAGTTTTAATGATTTTCATTGAGTGTTTTTTTAAAGAATGACTATAGTTTAGTCGGACAGGTTTTGTGGAAATGGCTCTTTCGAAGGTTGTGTTTTTCACATATTGATATCAGTTGAAGTACCATTGAAATTTCTGTGTTTCGGTGTTGGTTAAGCATTCAGTTCATGACCTGAAGGTTCTAGATTCTATCTCCGGTAGGATCGTGGTTGAATGGTGCGAAGGAGTCTAATGCTAGGACGTGACACCTGTATTTTCCTTCCTGATTGTGGTTTGAGTTTGATCTATGACAAACACAACCTACAAATAATAATAATATTAATAACACTAGAATAAGAAGTAAATGTTTAAAATAGACGTGTTTTGCAAAAAGTTGTTTCAGAGATCTTTACGCTCAAGTTGTCGTTCATCAGTTACCATATACAACAATGCGTTTACTACTCAATTAATCAACTGATTTTTATGTTTAACACATATTTCGTACTAACGGTTAAATAATCTAACTCCAACTTTTGCATTTCCCATGTAATATAAATTGCCACATGATATTTTATTGTCATACAGTTTATCATTCGCTTTTGACCCTAACTTAAGGTATGACGATGTCATCCAAGTACTTAAATCTGAAGTAGGTGGAATGATTTGAAAACCACCTACGTGAATCATTGTCAGCGAAGTCTGTAAAGTGACATTAAAGTGGTGGCAAGTTTGATTCCGTTGGAATGCCGTAACGTGTTTATTATTATTATTATTATTATTATTATTATTATTATATTTTGATCATCCGATTGGGTAGTATTATGAGTAAAGCCTATAACTGTCCGAGTGTCCTTGTTCCGCGTTAGCGTTACCATTTCTGTGGATGGTTGTAACTATCATTTCTGTTAAATATTCTCTAAAATCAATGTATATCTAGTACGAATACGTCCATATACTTAAAATTTAAATTCACCGGTCGCTGTAATTCATGTTGCCAATATGGTCAGATATAAATGTATTATATGATGTTTAAGTAATGTTTTTGGCGGCGTTTTCTTCTCTGAGCTAGATGGTTAAAATGTGCAGTTTTCATTGTTCTTCTAAGTAACATCATTAGCACTAATTTCAGGTAAAAATGAGTTATTCGAATTTATTCACATCTGACTGACAGCTTGTCCTACAGACCTTGATCTTGAAAGATTATTGTTACGTATTGTTCGTATATTTGTTTATTTTTGCCTGATTGAGGCCAAAGGGCAGTAGATAATATCCAATTACGTTCAACATCGGATAGTCATGCTGTCAGTCGTATGTGAGGAAGTTCGAACAATTCACTTCTGCCTCAACTATTTAATGATAATGTTGTTCAAAAGAACGATCAAAGCTTGATAAATAAACCATCCAGCTTATAAGACGATATTCTACAAAATTCATTGATCTGAGCTACAAATCTTCCTCACCTGCTGTATAAGGTATTTATGAGTTCCATATACCTGTTACATGTAAATAACAATGCTTAGGTTTGTGGATGGTGTCTATAAAATAGATTAGCATTATAATTATTTTATTAACCTCAAATCAAAAATTTGCCTTTTATATCTGAAAAACATGTGATATAACTTGAATTTTCCAACAATTACCAAAATAAGCTTACTTATTCGATATTATGAAGAACAAAAGCAACTTGGTATTCAAATAAACATTTTCTGCACTGAACGAATGCAGATAAAGACAACTAGTGTAGCAACGGCATCACTAGACCTCGACATACACAAAGGAAAAATCAAGATCCTCAAATACAACACGGAAAATACTAACCCAATTACACTTGATGGCGAAACTCTGGAGTCCTTCACGTACCTGGGAAGCATCACCGGTGAACAAGGGAGATCAGTTGCAGACACAAAGGCGAGGATTGGCAAAGCAAGGGCCGCATTCCTACAATTGAGGAACAGATGGAACTCAAAACAACTGTCAACCAATATCAAAGTCAGAATCTTCAATACGAGCGTCAAGACAGTTCTACTGTACGGAACTGAAACTTGGAGAACTACTACAACCGTCATCAAGAAGGTACGAGTATTTATAAATAGTTGTTTACGCAAGATACTCAACATCCATTAGCCGCGTACCATCAGCAACAGCCTTCTGTGGGAAAGAACAAACCAACTTCCATCTGAAGAAGAAATTAGGAAAAGACGATTGAAATGGATAAGACATACATTAAGAAAATCATCAAACTGCATCACGAGGCAAGCCCTAATTCAAAATTTTGAAGGGAAGCGTAAAAGAGGAAGGCCAAAGAACATATTGCGTCGGGAAATAGAATCAGATATGAAAAGGATTAATAACAACTGGAAAGAGCTGGAAAGGATTGCCCAGAACAGATGAATGCTGGTGGTCAGTCTATGCTCCTCCAAAAGAAGTAACTGGCGTAAGTAAGCACTGAAGTCATGAGATTTCAATGGTCTCACAAACAAAACGAAACATTGTAAACAACTATTTGATCTCTTGTTTCTTTTTTTCCCCGGAATTTTAATGATATATTGAGTTAACAATGATTTTCTCATCATAAAATATTAAAATAATGAGTTGAACATTTTCAAGCAAGTTTATTCATTTAATGATCAGTTGATTTATGACTTCTATGACCTTTCAACTAAGAGTTGAAGTCATTAAATTATATAATGAAGTAAAAGAAGAAATACTGTTTGTATTACTTGTACAATGTTTTTGTTTTTAAAACGACACCATCAAATATAGATGGTAACATTAGATAATTATGAAATATTAAAATGATTTGTATATAAAATCAAACAAACAACTGAATGGGCAAATAATTATGTAGATAGGATAAGTTGAGGTTAAAGATCAGTTAAGAAAAAGAGAAACAAAACATTCAAAGAGTACAAAGGAAAAAAATCATCTAAGGCAGAGGAACATGTTATACAAATGGACAAATTAGAAAAACAGTAAAGTAGTAATAATGATCAAAGTTAAGATAAAGATAAGGATCAAAATTGATCTAATGAATAGTTCAAAGCTTTAATTATTGTTCTATGAAGAAATGAAGAACAAAGGAAAGAAAAAAAAACATTTCAATGTTTAACTATATTCTATAAACAATCTGTAATTTAATACATTAGAACTATATAAATGATAGAACGGTGGGACATTTAAGTAAATCTATTATTTGGAAGATTGTTTTAATTGTTCTCATATTTATTTTCAACTTAATAAATAATTTTCTGAGAAACATTCACTTCTACTAGGGCATATTCATACAGGATAATTAAAAGTTCTATATTTAATTCACTAAAGATAATATATTCAATGATTATATCGTTAAAATGGACTTGAAATTCAAGGTGAAATCCTTAATCCTTGCTATACGAGATAAAGTAGAAATGTGTAATCCGAGTTGATGGCATTTTATTACACAGCTCTGTTATCACGGCATATACTATGTTATTCAACTATTTTATAAGAATCGAGTTGTCCTTAATAAACAATATAAGAAGAAACTAGATAAATGACGAAAGCGGCTTAACTACAACATTATAACCATTTCGGAGTGTATTATTATATGTATGATTTATTTATTCGAATAAACATTGGTAAAAATAGGCACTAAAATATATATGCGCCACACGAATCATAACATTTTAAAATAGGCTGGGATGCTACTTGGATGCCCAAACCAAAACAAGTGGTTTTCTTTGATTCTAATCTAATCTTCAAGTCAGTTGACAAACTCTAGATGCCGTCTCATGGTAGCCGATGGCTAAGAATGGGTTCATACCCCATTTGTTTTCTCAGGATTCTGGAGCCCACGTTAACCGGTTTGAAATCAGGGTTTTCTGACTCCCCTAATTCTGTCCTCCGTACCCACCAACCCGATCAAAGCGCCGGACATTCACTGTTCATCCTCTCGATTTCGTAAATAATACCTCTGCTGTAAGAAGGTAATGACTACGACTTTTGTGACAGTGGCTATGTACACATGACTATATAAAAGCATTTCGACAAGAGCAGACTCTCACCTTCAGCTGTACCATAGCATTCGGATGTCCTGTAGGATATATGAGATAGAAACCAGTATTTCTTAATAGGAAAACTTTAATGTTATGATTGTGAATAAACAATATAGCGAAAGGTGATTCCATACCAGTTATAAGGTACCTGTATTCATTCCATTTTTTTTTCTTCATTTTCTTCAAAGCAGTAGAAAAGTTTCTTACAATAATTGCCACTTTTCTAGTTTGAGTTATTGTTTATCCGTTTTCATGCTTCAATTATGAAATTAATACCATTTTTAGTTCCTCCTTTTCTTTATTCAAATAAATGGCCTTTAGTGGTGAGGATTTTTCCTCTCAAAATGCCTTACCACCGGAGACGGAAATACGTGAGGTAAGGTGAGGTGTGACACTTTTAGGGTCAATCTTTTCTAACCCCTTCCTCCCTTGTGAGAAGGCAGCATTGCTGCAGATGCTGGTTGTCCGAGCGAAACACCTTACTGCTGTTACATTCTTCTACATTCAGCAGTACGACTTCACCCTCAGGCCTTGAGTTCCTACTTTTAGTCTTACCGTTCTCCAATCGACCTGCCTGGCATAGTAGAACTTGAAGGAACATATGTTCCAGCAAATATAGCACAGTTGGGTCATCACGATAGGCAAGGCCGACCACCCCGTCAAGGTAGCAGCTATAATCGGGTGGTCTTTAATTTTTTTCCGACATGTGCCCTTTAATATATATATATATATAGTTTAGCGTCAGTAACTGTAATTTCTTAATAATAATGATTGTTCATTATGACTGCATTAGCAGGTTTTCTATGTTAACTAGTAGTTACTAGGGTTTTGAGGGAAACATAACTATATAATTTTCTTTATTAAATTAACACTATTGTGTATAAAATAGGTCATTAGAAACACAATTTGTTTTTTTAAAATAAATAACGATTAATGGTAAATTATTTTCAGGTAGGAAATTTGTCCTTCAACAAATATAGAACATATTCTGTGATTGATTGATTAGGAAATAGTGTTGATTTTTTATAGAACCTATACATTGAAATATATAATCACGTGTGTGTACTTTTAAAAAAATACCGAGGAGGGGAAAAACTTAGTTTTTCATGAATTTGTATTGATTTTGCGGTGACATGATGGTTTCCTTAGAGGGCCACGCCCCGCGCCTTCGATCTAAAGATTTAATCCACAAGGCAGTGGAGCAACGTTAAAGAGATGCAGTCTCGTGGTAACCAGTGACCAACGATTGGTTCATACGCCAATTGTTCCTTCAGGATACTGGAGCCCATGTGCACCATTGGTTTGGAATTTGGGTTTTTCAACTCTCCTAGGTGGATCCTCTATATCCACCAACCCATTTAAAGTGCCGGACATTCGCTTTTTGTCCTTTCAATTTCGTAAACAACACCCTTGCCACGAGAAGGCAGTGAGTAGGACTTATCTGGCAGTGGTTGTATGCACGTGGCCACGTGAGAGCATTTCGATAGAGAGAGAGAGAGAGCTGACTCTCTCCACTCTCGGCTGTGATAGGGCATTTGGGTACCTTGAAAAGAATAGTCTTCATTTGTATACAATATGATTCGTTATTATCACTATTGCGTTTTCAGTAATTTTAATTTAAAGTACATTAATGTTTAAATAATTAAACATTTTCTATCGTGTAATTTCTAACTCTTAGCATTGAATGAAAGCTGAATAGAGATTATATCACAATAATAATTGATCACTTTCCATTTCCTTATAGTTCCATTAGTCTTAGAAGTTTGTAGAACAAGCAATTGTATATATTAAGTAATTCTATGCAAATTGTTGCTTACTGTTATACGTGTTAACAATATTTCCATTGTATTATATATATATATATATATATATCATCTTAAGTAAATGATCATAACTTATGTTATTATTTTGATGGGTATATGTCATGTAACCTAGCTAATTTCCTGTTCACCTTTTCTCATATCCAAATAGTTTAGAAGTGATGTAGAATAAGTTTAAAATTAGATAAAAATTATTTCATAGCTGAGAGTTGATTTTTTTATTTTCAATACAATATTGGGTATAGTTCATTTTTGACTGGCTTGTTTGAATCTTCCAATTGATATTTAGGACTACAGTTGATCGGTCTTTTATTAACATATGTACACCCTGTACGTATCGTCTTGATATTACCTTAAGTCACAAGCATTATGAACAAAAATGTGTAGTGGCTAGCTGTGGAATAGAGGGCGCGCTTTTCGTCCTATTTTGGACTCGTCAGCTAGATATCCCTGCTTCCCAAAGTGAACACCAACTCTGAAATGGCGGTAAATTCATCTGACGAGTCCTAAACAGAACGAAACGTGCGTCCTTGATTCCACTGCTGGCCACCATCCATCTTTGCTTATAATTTTAGGTATGTTATTATCTAAATTAACGATTAACAGTAAAATTCAATAATAATTTTGCTCATACTTCTATATTATTTCAGTGATAAAAATAAACTTTGAAGAGATAAAATGTAATAATTTTTATGGTTATGATATGTTTGATCATAATGTCTTTATTCTATTTTGTCAAAAGTTACTACTACTACTACTACTACTACCTACTTACGCCTGTTAGCCCTCGTGGAGGGGCATAGGCCGCCCACCGTTTCATTTTGAACTACAATTTGTTAATATTTGTTCACCAAGTCGATATATATATAGAGAGAGAGCGAGAGAGAGAGAGTTGTGGTCTTTTTTTCTTTTCAATATTTAGTCATATATACAAAAAACAAATTTCTTCCAACCTACTGTTGACGTGTTTTGTAATATATTATGGATCAGTGTCTATGTGGTTAAGACATTCTACTTTCAACCTTTAAGTTTCATGTTCGAATCCGATACCACCACTTACATTGGTTCAGGGAAATTGAGTGGTATATCTAGTTCCCTTACAATAAGAGTGTAACTTGATGCCTAGTATTTGAATCTGCGTCTAGTACGTAACCTAATAAAGATAACTTTCTTCATAATGTACAAATCTATATGAACTGTTTATTTCTACTGATGATGGTATGTTTGATCATGATGAACCATTCTTGAGCTACATTAGGTATACGTACCGTTTTAAAGCAAATAATTTATTGGCAATTGAGATTCAGTTTTTTTGTTTAGTTTTAGTGTAATACTGTTTCACTTCAGTTGAATAGTATGAATAAGAGTAGATATGTGGAAAATTCCCAGCACATCTGAAGTTTATGAAAGTTTTTCCATTTTTCGAAAAGACTGATATTAACTAACCACCTTTTGAAACTGTAGACAGTGAACAGCTGTTTTGTTCTAATATGGAACAAGTCACATTTCCGTCAGGAACAACTGACCGCAATAATCTCAGGCCTTGTTGCATGATAGAGTGAGTTAATTTTGAGATCAAAGAATCTATTTATACTTGTCCACCTTCCCAATTCCAATCACTTTTTTATAGGAAGAAATAGCTGTTCAATATTATGTGTTAATCAATACTGATCTAGCGAGTCACTTTCTAATTATCCACTCCAAGTTGAAAAAAGCTTGTTGCTTTGAATTAAGATATGTATCATTACTTTATTTGGGGGGGGTCATCTAATAGAGTTTAATTTATATCCCTTTTTCTTATTCAAGCTCAATGCATGTTATTTAGTTTTCAATGATGTATCATATTTTTACAATCATATTACTGAGTAGTATATATCCATGAAAGACGAAATGAATTCTGTTTATGTATGTATTTTTGAATTATCACTTATTGTATATTAAAGTACTTGTGACTGAAAAATAATGTTTCATTTCGTTAAAAAATGCTTTGTATTTTAACAAACTTTGTAAAACAGTCTCTGCCTGTCACAGTATTTTCTCTCAAAGTCTACTCTCTCTTTTTGGTTGTGTGTGTGTCTGTCTGTGAAGCTAATCAAATTACACTTTCGAATGTCACTGTTTATTCACTATTCGTATTGTATAATTGTTGCTTAGTACTTTACAAGTTAACTGACTGGTGATATATTAATGTTGACATACTTGTCATTTTGAGTGACTTATCATATGATATTGCAAATGTTCTCTTTTAGGATTGATGGATAATATTTATATTTCATAATAAGAATTTTAAGGTGTTTTCTTATCTGAGCTGTATGATATAAGTTGCAAAGCTCTCTCATTGTCTTTCTAGACAACATCTTCAGTATATCCTACATAAAAAAGGAATTCAGGTCAGGCGAGAATGCAGTCTAAACTAATATACTAACAACCAATCAAATAACATGTCAAAAAGAGCTAACCTTTAGTTAATTATGGGAAAAATACTAATACTAACTTACTACTCTTTAAATTATGTGCTGATCATATTGTCTTGAAAAGATATGCTTCACAACTAAATTATTCAGCTCACAGAACATAACATTTCTATATCGATGAATGAATTACGTAACGTTTAATATTTGTCTAACTAGTTAAAGTGTAATTATAACAAACTAACGTAGATGTATTCTTACAAAAAAAACTTTAACAGTATGACTTTGTTTTTTTTTATTCTAAGGGTACAATTCGTAAATGGACAAGTTATTTTGATTACATTGTAACTGACGCAAGAAAACCAGCATTCTTTCAGGAAGGAACAATTTTAAGAGTTGTTTGTCAAGTTAGTTGAATTATTCTCATAATAAGTTTTTGTTTTCTTTTTTGTTTCATGTCAAAAACATTGGTAATGATGATGATATAAATTATTTTTTCTGGTTAGCGTTTTTTAGCGAGTTAGCTTTCTACGGGATGGGGTCGCTAACCCTATGCCCAACCCTCCTCTTTTATCCGGGTTTGGGACCGGCATTATCCCAGAGGGGCTCCAGGCGAAGTTGTCAAAAACATTACACTGATAAATTCGACAGAAATCTTTAAATTACGTCTCAAAATACACTAAAGTTGTATGAGGAAAATCGTAATATTGTAAATCGTGTTGCAAAATATACAGTAATATAATGCTTGATATAATTATGGCATTTTAGTGTTAGAGATGAGTTGACCATAACAACAATTTTATCAACGTTATATTCACGTCATAAAGTGATTTGTTACATTTTGTTAAATTATGAAACTTTCATACATTGAAGACTACTAAAATTTGTTTTTAGTCATCGAACATTTTAATGTCATTTTCAATATAGGGTCGTGGAAACTGTTGAATTTCATCAAAGTCATGAGCCGATCTAAGTAAGACCACCATTTAAAACCTGGAAGCACCGGCCGGCCACTTCGTCCTAGTGTGGAACTCCTCAACCGTGGCCAGTGGAGTTAATCCGTACCAAGTTTGAGGCAGACAATCGAAGATAATCGCGCAATGTTTTAGATTGATTGAGCTTAGACATTGACGCTGCTGGATGCCGGCTTAGTGGTCTAGAGGTCGCGACTTCTGGATTCCATTGCTAACCTCATTTTTACGTTCTTGATCTGTCTACCCGACAATATACAGAAGATAACTTGTATCGATCTAGATTAAGTCCTTGAACGATAAGCTGACTGGTTTAACCTTGAGGTTAGAATGCTTGTGCTTGAAGTGAGGTTGACTGCCTTGGGTAGAGAGACGAAAACCACTCTGTCACCTGACGAGAGAAAACACCAGTCAACCGGGGACACTACTCGATTTATTCTCAATTCCGATTCAGATTAATGCAAAAATATATATTAATTAATAGATGAGCAACATGACCACAACGTACAAATAATTAGAGAGATACAATTATTTTAATAGTTAATTGGAGCTAGGCCACCATGGAAAACCTGGAAGCACTGGATGGCCGTTTCGTCCTAGTATGGAACTCCTCATCAGTGCGCATCCACAACCCTGCCTCGATCCAGGTTTTCCATGGTGATCTAGCCTCGATTGACTCATGAATTCAACAATTAAATTACTATAATATCCACAAAAACCCCTATTTGATTAAAATACAGTTGTGCTGAAAACTGGGCATTAGTGTAGAAAAACAGGGCATCGATGGTACCGTTTAAATTACACAATAGCTTTTGAACAGAAAAGGGTATGGCAGTGAATCATACATCAAACGATAGCTTATAGTTTGCCGAATGAACCAGGGACAAAAATAAATGTTGGTATTTTACAAGCTTTAAATCAAGTGAAATAACGTCCCGAAAAACAACTCCCTTTGTTTGTCATGGCTTCTTTGTTTCTCTGTTCACATCATGCACTTTCCCTATTATACATAAATATTGAAAGAACTAGTTTGCTTTTTTTTAATTATGAAATTTAATACCATTTTGTTCGACAATCAGTTACTATTCATATTGAACGTAGAGTCTGATGAATACAGTGGTTTTGAGTGCTGTTAGAGGTATGAGGGCGGTTGTCACTTCCTGGTTGCCCACATCGTAGAAGGGTTGTTCTGGAGGTACCTGAAAAGAAAATTGGAATAGAGGTGGTCTTAATGATCCGAGAGCGTGACCGCAGTGCCCAAGGGACAACTGCCTGAGGTTGGTCACACACGACCTTTTTATGAGTAATTTTTGTGTTAGCTCCGTACTTGTTGAGATCTTACCACCGGAGACGGATATCCGTAGGATAAGGCGAGGTGTGCATTTTTAGGGTCGACCTTTTCTAAGTCCACTCCTCGTTGTGGGAAAGCAGCATCGCTATCATGCTGGTTGTCTGAAGGAAACACCTTACTGCTGTTACACCTTTGTACAGTCGGCAGTACGACTTCGCCTTCGGACCTTAGGTTTGTTGCTTTTAGTCTTGCCGTTCTTCAACCGACCTGTCTGACATGGTAGGACCTTGATGAACGATTGTTTCAGCCAGAATAGCTCGATTGGTTTATCACGACAGGTAAGCCCAACCACCACGTCAAGGTAGCAACAACGGTCGTTGTAATTGACTGACTGTAGAGTCTGATACAAGATGCATAACAAAGAAACTGATTGGTATAAATATTGTATTAGTAATGTAAACTTATAAAGATATCAGTCACTTATGTACACATTTAATGTCGGTCATTTCATATGATACATAATGGAATTATTTGCACAATAGTTTTATATAACACATATTAGTCATTATAAATGTACATGATGATTATTTTGTAATAAAATCAATTCATGTATTCATTAGAATTTTGTATTCATAATATAAATGGTATTTTTAAAGTTATTTCAATTATTTGTCCTCCTGTTATATCGTAAGTTTTGTCCGGATTTTCTAGTTTATCGAGTTTATTAAATTGATTGATATGTTTGTTTTAAATCTTATTGATGTTTAGGATTGTATTTGATCAGTTTGTTATTGGCATATTTACATCCTGTTCGGATAGCTTCGATAGTGCCTTAAGAGTCAGAAGTATTATAAACAAAGATAATATCTAGCTGACAAGTTCCAAATAGGAAGAAACGTGCATCGTGGATTCCACCATTAGCCACCATCTATATTTGCTTATAATGATTAATATATTGTTTGATAATTAACTAATTAACTTATTTCACTAACATATTAATTATCTTATACAAAGATTCAATGTCAAGTTTAGATATGAGTTGATGTATAGTACAGATATCAATGAATCGTTTAAATGAAAGGCAAACAAGGATATCATCTATAATACATTTATTATTACTGATGTAATTAAATGAATTTTATAAATGAAAACAATTTCTGTTTTCTATATATTTTAATTTAACACCAATAAATCGGTACTTAATTGATTCAAGCATATGGATTTTAACCATTTAGTTGCTGGTTCACAACTAGCTTCAACTATAATAATATAACCACTCATAGAATTGTAATATAGCTCCAAAACCGAATACATGAATTCATGCTTATTAATTACATTTTGTAAGCAATAATGGATAGTGACTAGCAGTGGAATCCAGGACGCGCGTTCCGTCCTATTTGGGAATCGTCATCTGGATGTGCCTGCATCTCAGAGTTGATTTTCACTCTGGGACTCGAACCCAGTACTATTCGCTTCAAACGCCATCGCGTTATCCACTTAGCTACTGGGTCCTGATAGCCACTTGCTTGTGTAATGGGATGAATTTCAATTCACTACTAGCCACTATCCATCATTGCTTACAAAAAGCTTATGAATTAAGGCAATGTCGAGGCATACACACAGTATCCACATATGCCGATAACAGACTGATCAATTGGGAAGATACAAGCCAAATAATATCAAGTGAATTATTAACTAAATGTTATGTAAATAAAAATGGTAATTGATTAAAGTCATATACATGACTGAAAACTCTACTAGATACAAAATTACCTTTTCATAGGATCCTATTTTACAAAAAATCAACACCCAAATATGATTGGTTTAACACAGTATAATCCTGATTGTTAAAAGCTATATATTTCTTTGATAATTTTGATTTTGATTATTACCCTGAAGAAGTCCAGACAAGTTAGTTGGACGAAACGTTGGAATTAGTTAAATTTCAATCGCTGAGAATATTTCAAATATAATTTTCACATATAATGACTTCTCTATACTCGGCGCTCAATTACTGTCAAACTATTCGTTCTAATCTTGACAAATATTCGTATAAATACCTTTTCATTTGTTATCAAAAGCTGTTATGACCAGTACTGTTTAAATTATTTTATGACATATTAGTCATTTTTATTTGTAAACATTTATTTTCTTTTTATTTGCGTAACATTATTTCTTTCATTCAATTTATTTTATAAAGGATACCGGGCAGCCCAGTATTGGTCATCATATGGGTCCTTTAGAAACTGGTCAAATATATTCCGGAGGTAATTTGAAACTATATTAGTTTAATGCATATATATATCGTGTGTTGTGGACCGAAATTGAAAGTTGTATTCTTTCCCATGTGTATATAGTTTTTTTGTAGTCCAGTAATTAAAACATCCCAAGGCTAAAATTAAGGAATAACTAATTCCGTTTGATCTATTGGACAACAAAATTGTTAACTGTTATTTTGAGTCAAGGAGTATGAATTCATTTTAGAATACATTATAGTTATAAAATGATTGTATTATTAGTCTATATCACTTATTTGTTTAACCTCTATTGAACCATAATCTATTTGAATACTGTAAAATGTATCTTTTTGTTTAAAAAAAAAGAAGATCCAATTATGGAAAGATTCGTGGATAATTATTCTCACGGTGTGTGAAAAAAATTGTAATATCATAAACAGTTATCAAGTGGATATTGTAACTGAGTTAAGCTGTTCATTGTAATAAAATTCATTTCTAGAATTTCTCAATGTGATAATTATTCCTTTTTACATTGATATACATAACTGCTTTGACTAAATATACCTATTTGTTCTATAAATTGCTCGGAAGTGTGTATACCTCATGATTCATAATGTTTATTCATTGTTGATACTACTTACAAACAAAGTATATGTACAGTAATTTTCCCAATTATTTTCTATTTACATAACTTTATTTAAAAAAATATTCATAATGAATTCTTGTTAGCTATTCTTTCCCGGGCTTTTGACTTTGCTGTATTGCGGAGAGTGCTGAAGGCAGTTAGCAAGATGTGTGGTGAATCTTTCGAGGTCATAATTAATATGGTTGTGGATAGACATCTAAAGTCTTGAAAACTCTTAGCAGGTGTTATCTTATCAGATACTAGCCATCTCCTTCACTCTTATCTTTCTCCTTGTATATCTTCTGGTAGAACGAGACGTAATTACATTAAAATCCATGCACGCAAGCAAAAGTATAAAAGTTCTATAATACCTTACCTAGCAAATATACTCTGTGATGAACAGGTTGTTCGAGTTAACCTAGTCATTAGCCTGCATTCCTAACCGTCTCTAATTTGAAAAGTTGTACAGTTTTTTCGGTGTTTTTTTAAAAAAACCTTTTTCATTTTTTTTGGTATTTGTTACTGTATTTCTTTTTGTTGCGTAAGTAACTTGTTTAAATACTCTGTGCTGAGAATTCTATATTGTACCAAAATATAATATTGAACAAAGCCACTAATAATAATAATAATAATAATAATAATAATAATAATAATAATAATAATAATTAGAAACGAATAAAAACTTACATTAATATAGTATAATTTACATCCTATTAGTTGTTTATATTGAACAGTTTACACATAATTAAATTCTGCTGTACATTTATGTATCTAATTAATTTTTCAAAAGAATTATCATTCAACCACCCTGCCAAAGTTGTAGTATAACTAATTTTTACTAAGCTTAATGTATCTTAGAAAACTGTTAGTGTTTCTTTAGTAAATACTTAAGATGCTCTTTCTTTTAAATGCTGATTCCTGAAAGATACCCCATCTATCTATGTTTATTTGATCTGTGATGATAATATATTTATCTTTTTGCGATAGGTTTGATTCACAATAATTAGGACCGAAGTTACATTTATTTTGATAGTAATCTCAAATGGGATGTTGACCTTGTTCATGATGACATAATCTAGTTTATTTAATAATGAAACGATGTACTCAGTGACCAACTTTACTTTTCTTAAAATTTTCTACATTTCAGCTAACATGAGAATGCATAAATGTGGATGACAATTTGAAATTTATTATTTTCCGTACTACTTTTGTTTAAATTCATAATAGCATGGGGGTTTGTGGAGATTGTAATATTTTCAGTTGAATTTACAAGTTGATGTAAGCTACAACACTACTAAAAACCTGGATGCGCTGGACGGCCGTTTTGTCTTAATATGGGCCTCGTTAACACTGCTCAGTGGTATAAAGGTTAGGTGTTCCCGCGTGAGACCAAAGGTCTTGTGTCCGAGTTCCGCGTGCAGGATCGTGAATGTGCACTAATGAAGTGTCCCATATTGTGACGAAACGGCTGTCTGGTGCTTCCAGGTTTTCATTATTAGTCTAGCTTAGATTGACTCGTGAATTCAACTGTTGAAATTCATAATAAGCCAGAGATTTCAGCAGAGGTGATGACCAGTAACGTTCGATCATCTCGAGTATCATATAGTTACCCACCATATAGGACATTTAGAAATGGTTGCGCAATATAACGAATTCATTGAATCTAAACACAAACTATCGGATACCAGTCAACAGAACTTTATTACTCGTCGTAAGACCCGGAAATCCTGAGTTCTAGCCCTAGTAGAGGAGTTGTTCTTGCTCATTGCTGAGGACTCGTCGCATTCTGGTGTAGAACCATTATCTAGTGTATTCTGATTTCCAGTGATTGTTTAACTAGGGTCAATATATAATACAAACTATATAAGTAAAAAATCTGTACAAACTCTCAAATAAAACATTTATTCATTTTCAGATTCTAGTATCATAAAAATTCTATCATAAAAGAGGTTCTTTCAAATTTTTATCATAATTCTCTTTATAGCAATTACATTTGTTAAATTAGAATCTGTTTCATTTTGTTATTTAACGTGTTACAAGCAAAAAAATGCAATGCATTTCACTACTTACTTACTTACTTTCTCCTGTTACTCTCGATGTAGTATAGGCCGCCGATTAGCATTCTCTAACCCACTCTGTCCTGGGCCTTCTTTTCTAATTCCATGCAATTGTTGTTCATTTTTCTCATGTCTATCTCCATTTCCCGGCGTAATGTGTTCTTTGGTCTTCCTCTTTTCCTTTGGCCTCGGGGATTCCGTGTGAAGGCTTGTCTTGTGAAGCAATTGAGTGCTTTCCTAAATGTGTGTTCTATCCACCTGCAGCGCTTGTTCCTGATTTGTTTCTCCGCTGGAATCTGGTTTGTTCTTTCCCTTAGTAGGTTGTTGCTAATAGTGTCCGGCCAACGGATTAGAAGTATTTTGTGTAGTCAATTGTTAATAAACAGCTGTATCTTGTGGATGATGGCTTTCGTAGTTCTGCATGTTTCCGCTCCATACAGTAGAACTGTGTTGACATTTGTATTGAGAATCCTGACTGTGGTGTTGGTTGACAGATGTTTTGTGCTCCAGACGTTTTTCAGTTGTAAATATGCTGTTGAGATGGTGGAGAAGATTTGTAGCTCAGGTGGATGATTTTGGTGGAGTTTTGTTCTCTGAGCTGGATGGTTTGGTCGTGGAGCTTTCATCTTTCTTCTGAACGACATCATCAGCACAAACTTCAGATAGAAGTGAAGTGTTTGAATTTCTCCATATGTGTCTCAAAGCTTGTTCTGTGCACCTCGACGTTGATTGGTTCTTATTGACCTTAAATTTGTCGTTGTTTACTTCTTTGTTTTGGTTGTGTCTCCCATTGTTTTGATTTTTGTTCTTATGTTTGTGCATGATTTTTCTGATTGGTTGATAAATTGGATTGATTTCAATATGCTTGTTGATTGCTAATTGACCTGAGTGCCAGGCTCCTAAAAATTCTCTGGTGTTTTTGGAGTTTCCTCTGTCTAAGATTTCCACATTTTTCCAATCGAATGAGTGTCCGCAGTTGTCCACGTGTATTGATATAAGTGAAGAGATATCATGCCGTTTGACTGCTAACTGATGTTCATGTAGGCGAAGGTGGAGGGGGCGTCCGCTTTGTCCGATGTAGTGTTTGTCGCAGTTGGTACAATTTATTTTGTAGATGATGTTTGATTTGTTTTCCTTTGTTATTTCATCTTTTGGTTTGCATAAGATTGATTGTAGTGATTTTGTCGGTTTGTGTGCCACACCTATTCCGAAGGTTTTTAGCAGTCTCGTCGCTGTTTCTGATATTCCTTGTATATATGGTAGGGTGATCCTTTTGTTGATTTTTGTGTTTGACTTGAGTTCTAATGCTGCGTGCGGTTGGTATTTTTTGATGAAGTTGATGGGGTAGCCGTTCTTCTGAAATACATCCTTTAGATATTTCTCTTCATTTCTTCGTGCTGCCAGTATGCTGCAGTGTGTCCTCGCCCTCTTGAACAAATTGTGTACGCAGTTGATTTTGTGAGCTCTGAGGTTGTTGCTATTGTAGTTGAGAATTTGATCCGTGTGGGTCGGTTTCCTATACACTTGAGTTTCTAGTTTTCCTGTGTCGGTTCTAGTGATCAATACATCCAAGAATGCTAGTCGGTTGTTTGACTCCTGTTCCATGGTGAACTTGATGTCATCGAAGACGTTGTTGATCAGGTTGTAAGTGTTTTCTAGTTCATTCTTTTTGACGATGACGAAGGTGTCGTCTACATAGCGAATCCAAATTTTTGGTTTGATCAACAAAAGGATCACCCTACCATATATACAAGGAATATCAGAAACAGCGACGAGACTGCTAAAAACCTTCGGAATAGGTGTGGCACACAAACCGACAAAATCACTACAATCAATCTTATGCAAACCAAAAGATGAAATAACAAAGGAGAACAAATCAAACATTATCTACAAAATAAATTGTACCAACTGCGACAAACACTACATCGGACAAAGCGGACGCCCCCTCCACCTTCGCCTACATGAACATCAGTTAGCAGTCAAACGGCATGATATCTCTTCACTTATATCAATACACGTGGACAACTGCGGACACTCATTCGATTGGAAAAATGTGGAAATCTTAGACAGAGGAAACTCCAAAAACACCAGAGAATTTTTAGGAGCCTGGCACTCAGGTCAATTAGCAATCAACAAGCATATTGAAATCAATCCAATTTATCAACCAATCAGAAAAATCATGCACAAACATAAGAACAAAAATCAAAACAATGGGAGACACAACCAAAACAAAGAAGTAAACAACGACAAATTTAAGGTCAATAAGAACCAATCAACGTCGAGGTGCACAGAACAAGCTTTGAGACACATATGGAGAAATTCAAACACTTCACTTCTATCTGAAGTTTGTGCTGATGATGTCGTTCAGAAGAAAGATGAAAGCTCCACGACCAAACCATCCAGCTCAGAGAACAAAACTCCACCAAAATATGCTGTTCTTATTTTATGATCCGCGCTTTTACATCTGCATCAGAAATGTATTTCACTAGGGGCCCTTTTTTTTAAAAGTGCACATTTTTTATTGAATATTATAAAATGTTATCATTATTATAATATTGTTTCAGGATCATGTGAAGTTTTTTCTCATCTAATTGGTGCTCGTGGTAAAGATGTTTTATATGTTGGTGATCATGTTTATGGTGATATATTAAAATCGAAAAAAACTGTCGGTTGGAGAACATATTTAATTATACCAGAATTAGCAAATGAAATTTATGTATGGAAAAAAAAGAAATCATTATTTGATGAATTACAAAAAATTGATAATAATTTAGAAACAATCTATCGGTTAGTTCATTGATTTGTGATTGTTTTTTTTCTTCCTGATGAAATTTTTCGAAAAAGAAATAAAGAAATCTGAATAAACTTTATTTTATACACATAGTCCTCTTTATTATATGAAAGAGAGCAGGAACAAAGATTGGTGCATAATAATAAATGAATTCATTTTATAATTTCGTTAGGTTCTCATCAGCTGCTTACAGTCTAAAATATTTGAAAATCTACGTTATTACAGATGAGATGACATACTTATCTACACGAGGGTGATTAAAGATGAATAAATGTATCATGGTATAGCGAAGATTTCAATCAAGTTAATAAGGTCATAAGAATTTTGTTTTGGATAAATAAAGTTTTTTTTGGGGGGGAGGGAGTTCCAGAACATTAACATAGTGATTAGAACTCATGGAGTTAACAAAAATTAGATGATTGTGTTACCACTAACTGTGCATGCAAATTTACATGTATCTCCCAAAGCAATTTCATTGGTAGAACAGAAAAGAAAACCTACGTCTTATTTAAAGAACATATTTCGACAAGTCTAAGATCAAATGGATTAAAAGCATTCAACAGTGCCATCACAAGACATCTCCTTGACACAGAACATGAAGTCGATAGACTGAAGTCCTTCAAGGTGATTAACAAACAAACTCCAACCTTTTGAAATTCGCTGAAGCGATAGCAATCAAACGTCTGAAACCAGATCTATGTATACAAAAATACACAGTAATAAATCTTTTTTTACCCTGGTAACAATAAATCCGCTTTATTTATTTATTACGGTATTCATTACTCCAACTCTTTCTGAAGTTTAAAATTACATCATTCATAACTGACTGATTTCAATTTATACCCTTCTTCATTATCATTAATCTATTGTCAGTTACTTCATTACATTTTTTTAATTCCATGAGTTCTAATCACTATGTTAATGTTCTGGAACTCCCTCCCCCCCCAAAAAAAACTTTATTTATCCAAAACAAAATTCTTATGACCTTATTAACTTGATTGAAATCTTCGCTATACCATGATACATTTATTCTTCTTTAATCACCCTCGTATAGATAAGTATGTCATCTCATCTATAATAACGTAGATTTTCAAATATTTTAGACTGTAAGCAGCTGATGAGAACCTAACGAAACAATAAAATGAATTCACATTATACCGCATCAATCTTTGTACTTGCTCTCTTTAAACTTTATTTGTAAAAAGCAAGAAAAACAGTTTTGTATTGCTTACCTGTACTAGTTTAAAAAATATTTTTAGCATTATGTACAACATAGACTTCACACAGGATCGAATCTATGAGTTTTTTCTCAGTGAGTACGTGATACATTCCGGTACGTATTTCAAACTAGTTATATTTTTCAAATTCCACTAATTCTGATATGAAGTTATCGTTGTATATTACTGTTATGACGTGTGGTGTCCGAGAGCTGATACTGATACACATACTTCTTATACGCTAATCTGACGTGCTTAAGTTAAAAGACTGAAAATGAGAAACCATTTTATTGGGTACCCGAATCAAGAAACAACTATGCACTCGTTTATGCATATATGATTTCCTTTGCAAAATTAAGAAAATCTGTGATTTATGCCTAATTCATTGTAAACCATAGTCATTCCTTGATCAATTACATGCAATATCATTTCTGCCGATTTCTGATTGGTTCAATGCATCAAATTCTATAAAGGGTTTTCAGTTTCATGTCGATATTCATGACTACAATTTATCAGGCTCCATTGCCATATGGCTAATTATCTAACGGTGGGATCCACGACGTACGTTTATCCTGTTTGGTGTTTGTCGTTTAGATGTGTCTGGATCTCATTGTTAATGTTCGCATTGAAACTCGAATCGAGTTCCTTTAACTTATAACACCTTACCATTTTATGCAAGTGCATCCAATTGACGAGTCCCAAATAGAGCGAAACGGATATCCTGGATCCTATTGATAGCCACATATAAGTATACTAAACTTACTATACTGTTCTGAACTGAAATGAGGGATGGGATACTGCCCGGGCGCCCAAACCGAAGCAGGAATGGCTATCTGGACTCAGCACTCAAGTGGATAACGCGATATCATTTGCAGAGAGCAATGTTGGTTTTGAGTCCTGGACTGAATAGAATGAAACGTGTCTTCTGAATTCCACTGCTAGCCTCATCTCATCTATTTTAAACCAAAATTCTAGTGATCTCTTAATAAATTAATGTTAATTGGAATATTGATATATGTTTTAAATAAAAATGTTTTTTGATTGAGATCATGAACCGATTGATGTTAGACTACCATTGAAAACCTAGAAGCACTGTACGGCCGTTTCGTTTTATTGTGAGACTCTTCAGCAGTGCGCATCCACGATCTCACTCGCGGGATTCGAACCCAGGGCCTTCAGTTTCGCGTGCAAGCGCTTAACCTCTAGACCGCTGAGTCGGCATTCGACAGTGTTAATGTGTAGCCTCAACCAATCGGCACGCTTCTGAGGAGTCCCACAATAAGACGAAACAGCCGTCCGATGCTTCCAGGTTTACAATGGTGGTCTAACACCAATCGGTTGATGACCTCAATCAAAAAGCTTACTAATCTCCACAACCCTATACTGAAAAAGTGTTTTTATTACTCAACAATGTGTTTGTAATTTTGAATGTGTTTTTACTAAGTATTAGTAATAATAATTTTAAAATAAGTAATTATCATATGATTTCTGTTTCGAGAATATCTTCCAGAAATTATGAAAATGTTTCCTCATGCAAATGGTATATTGTATTAAATGAGAATTTCTTCCTTATCAATATTGAATTGCGTTGAAATGTGATAAATTTCCATTGTGCTTATTGTTAAACTGTTAAACATTTTTTAGTACAATAAAAAAAGGATTAGAAATGAATGAACCACACAATATGAAACCATAGTACCGTATCAAAAAATGTAATGTAATGGGAATCTATGTCAAGGCAGTTAATAGCTTCCATCGTGAATCATATGTGATAACGTGTCAAATCCGTTGACTGCGGTAATTTGTGGATTTCGATCAGGAAATAGATGATAGCTTTATGTTACTATCTTTTACATCACAATGATATTTTATAAATTGACTATTTTTCCACATCTTCCACCCGGTTTTACCGTTCAGGCAAATAGTATATCCTATGGAATCCACTAAGGTGGCATTCGTAAAATATATCCTAGTCACTGATGACTAGGATGCAGTTGTTAGGAAACGGGTACTAGGTAAGGATGGAATATCAATTGATTAAGTAGTGAAACTTCATCAGTTGAGATGGCTGGGACACGTGTTACGTATGCCCAACCACCGACTCCCTGACGTGCGATGTTTTATGGTGTAGGAGTAGGTTGGAAGAAAGCTAGAGGCGGCCAAACCAAAACATGGCACAAATCCATGAAGTCATTGACAAGTAGACTGAGCCATGTCAGTAGGTGTAGACTATCTGGTTGGGATCCGCGAGACAATAGCAACCGATGGTTAGGGACCTTGAATCACATGACTCAAAATCGTTTGCAATGGCACAGGTGCATTCACTCTTTGTGTTCTCCAAAATTCTAATCTCCTAAATTCTTCATGTCTTTATATTTTTTTCTTTTTCCAAATTTATTTTACTGTATTATACTCTTTGAATAACATCTTCAAACCATAATGTTCCCGATTACTGCTTATACTTTTACTATCTCTACCACTATGGGATTTGAATCGAAAATTGTATTTCTGTGCTAATGTAATGTGGTATGGCAACTCGAACTGATGTAATTACGTACGAAGTTCTACATTGTTTCTGATTGATTGAGTCACTGATGAAGATTTCTTGAGATAGTGACACTGAGTCACTTATCATCGCTATGTTTGAACACATTTTGTTAAACTTAAGTATTATATAGTGTAGCCATTAGAAACCAACAATTATTTAAAGAAAGCATTGATTGGAAGCGGGGAATTTCAAGACACATCCTTAATTCATAGAAGACAAGTTTCACAAACTTTTAGCATCAGAATCGATCTCATCATTTTACATCTCAATATAGAATGTTAACTTTGAAATTTTTTCTTGATCCAAATTATTGTGATTTCTGTGTATATTATTACCATATGTGACTTGATGAACTATTGTTTGGTTTTTTTACGAAAAAATCTATCGATCTTGTCTTTTGTTTATTCACCAAACAACAAATTATGTTAATATATATATGTATAAGTTTTATGTATTGGGGAAAATGAAGGTTGCTTCATTTCGTTATTTCACTCCACCTTGCTACATATACTCTAATCTCATCCATTACAAAGTAGTATCAATTAACAATGATGACCTAGAATATTTTCCAATGTTATTTTACAAATAAACAAATGGATCAAAGTTCTTGTTTTGTTATTATTGTTGCCTTATGTCGATAATAATAATAATAATAATAATAATAATAATAATAATAATAATAATAATAATAATAATACATGTTTTCTTTCTCATTGCATAACTTTCATTCAACTTTGTTAACTATTTTATTAGTGATTTGAATATCTCATCGAATATAAGACCGGATGTTGGAGATTTACAGAGAAAAATTAGGGTAAGTGAATGTTTGGTAAATATATACTTTAATGGTATATCAATCAGTTCTTGGATTGTAAAGCTTCCATTTTCAATAGGGACGATCTTTTCATCATTCATTTAAGGTAAAAGTGAATATTTCACAATTGTTTTTGTGGTTGGCTGTATTTGTAAAGTCCTATGCTCGGATTAAACAACTATTCAATGCTTCCAGGATTTCAATATTTTTTGTAACTTCATTCGGCTTTTGATCTTAATAATATCAAACAATTTCCACAACCTCCATACTGATAATTTTCATATGTTCACTAGAGATTGGCTTCAAAAGAAAGTGAGAACCAATTGTCATGAACTCAGAATACAGTGGTCTTGAGTGCTGTTAGAGGTTTGAAGGCGGTTGACACTTCCCGGTTGCCCACATCGTGGAAGGATTGTTCTGGAGGTACCTGAAAAGGAAATTGGATTCGAGGTGGTCTTAATGATCTGAGAGCGTGATCGCAGTGCCCAAGGGACAACTGCTTGAGGTCGGTCACACACGACCTTATTATGAGTAATTTTTGTTTTAGCTCCGTACTTGTTGAGATCTTACCACCGGAGACGGATATCCGTAGGATAAGGCAAGGTGTGCATTTTTAGGGTCCACCTTTTCTAACCCCACCCCTCCTTGTTGGAAGGCAGCATCGGTATCATGCTGGTTGTCTGAAGGAAACACCTTACTGCTGTCACACCTTTGTACAGTCGGCAGTACGACTTCACCTTCGGACCTTAGGTTTGTTGCTTTTAGCCTTGCCGTTCTTCAACCGACCTTTCTGACATGGTAGGACCTTGATGAACGATTGTTTCAGCCAGAATAGCTCGATTGGTTTATCACGACAGGTAAGCCCAACCACCACGTCAAGGTAGCAACAACGGTCGGGTCGTCATGATCTATTGGAGTTTAGCTATGTCTGGTGTGTGAGTTAGAGATAACCATCGCAGGTTTTATTTTTATTATGTTATCACTTATTAGTTACCTATTGAATAATTGAAGAGAAATTCGATTTGGATTTATTTTCATGCTGTAAATAGCACATGTGATTATTTAAAAGAAATAATCCTCCATGCGGAGTTAGATCGTATGAATTAGAAAAAATAATGATGATATTAAAATTATTTCGGTTAGTTGTTACAATTTTTTATTTCCTCAACGATTATCATGCGTAATTGATGAATGGTATACGATCGAGATCTATGATTATTATTGTTATTGATATCATTATTGTTATTATTATGAAATATCATCAACCTTATCTGTTCATAAGTTGGTTAAGTATTAGATGAAATATAAATAATTCTTCATGTGAGTTTCATTGTATTTACAATTTATCAGCTGTATGTCTATCCCCCTCCAAAAAAAAGCAAATTAAATTAAATCATCAAAGTTTAGAAATGTATTTGTACCACTATGAATTCGATTTACCAGTATCATGTTATTCATTTCATGATCATTATTGTTCCAATTAAGAGATTGGCTAATATATTGTGAAATATTTCTATATGCTTTATTTAAATAATCAAAAGTTCAGCGAAGGGATCTCTTTTCAATGAATTTATTATCAAGCTGTACAATCGTATATATATATGAAATTTCTTTTTGTTAAAGTACTAGTTCCGCGAAGAAATGTGAATACGAATAATCAAGATGATTTAATAGAAAGATTGTAATACCAGATTACATAATATGAATAATAACAATAGATTTAATAAGTTAGTGACAAATTATCATGTGAATGTAGTAAGATGACTTAAATGTTTTTATTACAATAATTAAAGGTCATAAAGGTATGAAAATAAATAAAGTGATATGATGAGTACTTATGAATAAAATAATAAGAATATGAGACAAGGAGGGATGCAGTAATAATAATAATAATTATTATTATTAGGGCCAAAGTATGTATATACGATTGTACACTTACTTACTTACTTTCTCCTGTTACTCTCAATGTAGTATAGGCCGCCGATTAGCATTCTCTAACCCACTCTGTCCTGGGCCTTTTTTTCTAATTCCATGCAATTGTTGTTCATTTTTCTCATGTCTATCTCCATTTCCCGGCGTAATGTGTTCTTTGGTCTTCCTCTTTTCCTTTGGCCTTGAGGATTCCGTGTGAAGGCTTGTCTTGTGAAGCAATTGAGTGCTTTCCTAAATGTGTGTTCTATCCACTTGCAGCGCTTGTTCCTGATTTGTTTCTCCGCTGGAATCTGGTTTGTTCTTTCCCTTAGTAGGTTGTTGCTAATAGTGTCCGGCCAACGGATTCGAAGTATTTTGTGTAGTCAATTGTTAATAAACACCTGTATTTTCTGGATGATGGCTTTTGTAGTTCTCCAGGTTTCTGCCTCATACAGTAGAACTGTGTTGACATTTGTATTGAAAATCCTGACTGTGGTGTTGGTTGACAGTTGTTTTGTGCTCCAGATGTTTTTCAGTTGTGAATATGTTGTTCTTGCTTTGCCGATCCGCACCTTCACATCTGCATCAGACCCACCATGTTCATCAATGATGCTGCCCAAATATATAAAGGTTTTTACATCTTCCAAATCTTCTCCGTCAATTGTGATTGGATTGGTGCATGTTGTGTTGTATCGGAGAATCTTGCTTTTCTCTTTGTGTATGTTGAGACCCACTATTGCTGAGACTGCTGCTACACTGGTCGTCTTTTCCTGCATTTGTTGTTGCGTGTGCGATAGAGGAACCAGATTATCTGCGAAGTCTAGATCGTCTACCTGCATCCTAGATGTCCACTGTATCCCGTGCTTTCTTTCAGATGTTGACGTCTTCATAATCCAGTCGGTCACCAGGAGAAAGAGAAAGGATGAGAGTAAACGATTGTACAGCTTGATAATAAATTCGTTGAAAATTGATCCTTACTCTGAAATTCGTGTTGTTAATGTTTAATGTTTAAATGGGAATTATCTGTCAATTAGTCAATATTTACTGATAATCTATGTATTACATATATAGTTGTATATGCTTTTTTAAAAAATGTTTCTCTTTTGTTCATCCCGTTTTAATGAATATATATATATATCAAGGCTGTGGCTCAACGAATGGAAGAATCTTATGGTGCATTGGGAAGTATTTTCCGAAACGGTTAGTTTTGAAATCAGTTATTTTCTCTTCTCAAAAATGTTTGTCGTATTAGTTATTTAAACATCCAGTATTCTTGTTAGTACTATAACCATCATATACATTAGGTGATATTTGTCAAAACACTATTACAATAAGTTTATAAAAAACCATTGTCTTTCAATCATTACCTGTTACTTAAGTAATGATGATAACGATGATGGTGAAATTAGGCAACCACAAATTTCCAACAGAATATCATTACTACTTATATGTTTACTTGTTTATAATACTTACACACACACACACGTACACATACAAAAGCAAATTTACACTATATATCAAACAGTAAAGATAGTTCATATTACATTATTACTTAATTTTATTACGATTTGGTGTATTCACTGTCTGATTTTAACCTGTATTCGTATAAATCATTCATGTAAACTTTGTGCTTTTCTGTTCCTGGATTAATTTATTGTCATTTGTAAACTTTTTTCTAACAATTTACTATTGATAGCTTGAATGTAGCTGAATTGAATTGATAGTAAGAATGAATTTAATGTATAATAAATTCTTAGTTGTTCTTGTTCCATTTCAATTTCATATAGATTATCGACTGATTGTATTATAATCTTGAGTTAAACCTCATTTATAATTCGTTGGTAAATATGCTACATTTATTTCAGTCTCCATGACATATATACACATATGTTTTGGGCGGTTATTTGAATCTAATATGATAATCCACTATTAACCTAACCCAACCACACACATTACTGAGAAAATCAAGAGTGAGCAAGAAGCTTTTATTGGTCGACCACAAACAAAATATACGCACTAACTCGTTCTTTATATATATATATAAGAAGTTATGAGCGACTCAGAATTCGGGGAAAGATAAAGAACAGATGCGCCTGCGCCACGGCAAACGATTTTAAGCCATGTCATTTAAAGTCTAGGCGTTGGTTCTGATGCTCGCTCAGACCACAATCAAGTAGTCTACACCTATTATCATGGCTCAATTCAATTGTCAATGATTTGATGTACTGATGCCATGTATCGGTTTGCCTGCCTATAACTTTTTCCCATCTTATTCCTGCACCAGAAAGCATCACTCGTCAAGATAGCCAATTGTTGGACATACATAACACATTTCCCAACCACCTCAGTTGACGGAAATTCACTTGCTCATCAATCGATTTCCCACCTTTACCAAGAACTCTATTTCTAACCCCAAGCATTGCTTACTTCTTGATCCCAAAAGTTGCAACTAGTCGGCTCAAAAATCTTGCCTGAAAATATATTAAGCATGATTATTATTTATTTGAGAGTTTAGCATATATAACTGTAAAGGATTTTAGATCAGCATTATTATGCTTCCTTCTGATTGATTGATCCCCACTTAACGGCCAATGTCGCATTTGTACAGTTCGTTAGTAGTGATAGAATTTTACGGATTATAAAGGATTATGGCCATTAGTCTAGGTAATTCGACATTAAGTGTCCTGTTGATAAATACGTTAGACAATTGCCATGTTAAGTATTTCTATCAGTGAGCTGAGTGTTCTGCTTTTTAATGAAAATTAACGTTTAGATCATTGAAATATGAGAACACAATGTACACTATAATTACTGATTATTTATAAGTTTCCTCTTTTCTCTGTTATATTATTATTGTTATTACGCTTGATTTTTATTATATTTCAGGTTCTCGTCATACATTCTTCTCATCTCAAGTATTACGTTATGCCGATTTATATTCTTTCTCTTGTATTAATCTGATCTATTATCCTTTATGTTATATGTTTCGTGCACCAGCTATGCTTATGCCTCATGAATCAACTGTATCTCATGGTGATTCACCAAAAGATAGTTTTTCCGATTTAGATGCTTTACCGTGTGGAATTCGTCGACGTACTAAAAATGGTAATTTATACTTACATAGATTGTCATGTATATACATATATTTATTTTGTCTTACTTATAAATAATATCAGTATTACATAAGTTTAACTGTAAAAAGTTTCCAATTCGTTTGAACTTTCTGCTTGAATGAAGAGGTTTACTATTTTACAAATCGTATATTGTAGTTGAAAAACGTTCATTATCTTTGTGTACAATATCATTATAAAAATGAAACTCTTGATAAAATATATGGGATGAGTATGCTATTTAAAAGACTGTTTTAGCGGGTTTGTTTATGGATTTCATTAATAACAGATTTTATTTTGTAAAACTGTCGAATTGCATATATGTTTATATCTTCATGGTTTCTGAATAACATTTAGACCTTTCCAGCATCCTCAATGAATTTTCATTCAGAAATATAATTCATAGCAAATTCTATGAAAGATATGAAGAAGCAATTCATTTTGGCATGATTCACATACACTTTCACTCTAACTTAATTCTTGTTTACAATGTGATCATGAATGTTTATAGGTTTGTTTACTGAATTGTATACTTTAGAACCATTTATTCATAGTGTTTATACGTATAGGTACGATGGATATCAAGTTTCCGGAATTGTTCTTCAGTATACCTTTTTTTCATTGCATAACTTGCTATTTTGTAACCTACAAATTAGTTTTTTTCTATAAGCCAACTTTAGACTATAGATCTTTTTTTTCTCGAAAGAATTGAAGGTAACATTATTGTTCAATTATCAAAACTCTCATGTTAATTGATTTTCTTTGATTATTTCTATTGAAAGAAATCACTCCATTATCAACGGACATAAATGGTCTTAACTCTACTTTGGAGAGTTCAATTTATTGTAAGAGTAATAATAATACTATTTGTGAATCTGATGAAGAACAGGATGATTCACTTGATTCCGATTAAAGGTTAGTGATTATTCATTTGTACAATGAAATTAAAGGTATATAGTGAATGTTTTTTCCTCTCAAGTGGTGGTAAAAAGAAAAACTTCAGTTACAATTTGGTGTTAATAATGATTGTTCTAGGTGTAAGTTGTTTTTAATGTTGTATTTTGTTGTAGTAATTTTTAAGGGATTTGTAATCATTTTCCGATTTCCGGAAATTATATTACCCCTAACCCTTGGTGTTAGAAGGGTCACGTATTTTAACGGTATTGAATCTAAAGTAGGTATCATTAAAGAAATCTCAGAGTGAAGTAGCTAAATCTAAAAATTGACCTCGGTCTATGAAATTATTGGCTGTTAACCTGTTAGGTAATTTGATTAGTGTTGACAATCGGTTTAATGATCAAAGCCCTAATCACGACCAACGGTTGAAAATTGTGAGCAATATTGGTTAGAATCGAGCATAGCTGTGCAGATCCATCCATTCTTTATATTTCCTATAGAATATTTTATGTTACTAGTACTCAATTAAAGATCTGTCATCAGAGCATCGTTTGTATATTTTGTAACCGCAGACTTTAATCACAAAGTAATGTGTAAGGATGGCAAATCGATTGCTTAAGTAGTGAATCTTCACCACTTGAAGCTGTTGGCACATATTTTACGTATCCCTAACAACTGTCAACGTCGTCGGGTGGGTGATGTCGTTTCTTTTAGTAGTAGATAGGGGTAGTAAAGTGGGAAATTTCATTTTCCTTGTTCGTAATTGAATGAGGTCTGTTAAGTAGTCTCAGTTGTTGTAAGAACGCTTAAAACAAAGATTAAATTATCAGAAGTCGTTTATTTTTCTGAAACTACGTTTGGTTTACACTGAACTAATGTGTCTGTCGTCTGTTAAGTCTTACGGTTATTAAGTGTAGATATTAGGTACTTATTCCAAATTTTCATTCATTCATCTATCTGTCTAACCTACATATGAGTATGTATATTCATATATGTTTCATTATAGTGTTTTTTAAAGAGACTTGTTTTACATTAGTTTGATAATTGGTTCACCAACGAGGGAGTCAGAAAACCCTGATTCCAAACCAGTGGTGCACATGGGCTCCAGTATCCTGAGGGAAAATATGACATACGAACCTATTGTTGATCACCGGTTACCATGGGACTGCATCTCCTAACGTCACTCCACAGCCTTGTAGATTAGACTTCCAGACCGAAGACTTCAAGTGTTACCCCCTAAGAAGACTATCTCCTTCGGTTTGGGCACCTGGGCAATATCGCATCCCTCACATAAATCGAATGACATAGTGTAGTGCACATAGTAATACATTAATCACTATGACTATCTGACTGACCTACATAGTTGATAAATAATCAGCATCTTTGAAGCAGTAGAAGAAAAGTTGTTATTATTATTACTATTATTATTCATATAATTATTATTAGTGTAGTGGACAGAACACAATTGGGACAATCGAATGCATTTGCCAAGAAATTACAGAACCTGTTAATGAAATCTAACAATCATATAGTAAATGCTTAATTTGCAAAATGTCCATCAATTGTCTTAAAATGACTCAGACTTCAATGTTCTTACATTTTCATGCAAATTGCATTCTGTTCCCATTCTTTACTGTTCGACCCTCTTGTCTCTTTGCTACCAGACATTCTGTTCCTGACTAACATCATATACTACTTATGTCGATATAAGTAGCACATACCGCAGTAGTAGTAGTATTTGGATTCAGTCAGCCAGTCAGTGGTCTTGAGTGCTGTTAGAGGTATGAGGGCGGTTATCACCGTGGAAGGGTTCTTCTGGAGGTACCTGAAAAGGAAATTGGATTAGAGGTGGTCTTAATGATCTGAGAGCGTGATCGCAGTGCCCAAGGGACAACTGCTTGAGGTCGGTCACACACGACCTTATTATGAGTAATTTTTGTGTTAGCTCCGTACTTGTTGAGTCCTTACCACCGGAGACGGATATCCGTGGGATAAAGTGAGGTGTGCATTTTTAGGGTCGACCTTTTCTAACCCCACCCCTCCTTGTGGGAAAGCAGCATCGCTATCATGCTGGTTGTCTGAAGGAAACACCTTACTGCTGTTACACCTTTGTACAGTCGGCAGTACGACTTCGCCTTCGGACCTTAGGTTTGTTGCTTTTAGTCTTGCCGTTCTTCAACCGACCTGTCTGACATGGTAGTACCTTGATGAACGATTGTTTCAGCCAGAATAGCTCGATTGGTTTATCACGACAGGTAAGCCCAACCACCACGTCAAGGTAGCAACAACGGTCGGGAGTATTTGGATTAATATTGATAAATGATATTGTTTTGTTAGTTCACATGTATTATGTAGTGTTATCCATTATTCTTAGTATGGAAGTTTGGGGATTATTGAATTTCATTAAAATCATAAACTTTATCCAATTGATTGAACTTCTTCGTTTATTTTTCATTTTTTTCATTTTTCTAGTTATTGAACTTCACGAAATTTTTTTTCTCTCTCACAATTGGTTCTATCATTCTTATCAATGTAAGGAATAAAGAAAATTAAAATAGAGAAAATTGAAAAGAAAAAAGAGTGTACATGTACACACACACACCTACATACATACACATACACATACACGCTCAAACAAATAAACAAACATAATCGCTTATTATATAAATATAAATATGTTAATCAAAACTTACTACCTACATTGCCTGATCATTGTTAATGTCTATTCCATTTAGTCAATATACACATACACTTTTTATTGTATTTCTAGTCCGATTCAATATGATGATTAGTAGAATGAATATGATAATAAAAGCGAATGATTTTTGCGTTTTTTTAAAAATTTAATTATTTATTTATTATTTTTATTGATCATTGAACAATTGAAATCCTGCGGGTTTTTAAAAAAAAATCTAATAACAATGAATTCACTGTTGATTTAATCATTCAATGGAAATTATTTTTAATTCAAATCATCTTGATAATTGATTGATTGGTGACGACGCCTTACTTACTTACTTACTTACGCCTGTTACTCATGGTGAAGGAGCATAGGCCGCTCATCAGCATTCTCCACGCCTACATTCTTATAATTAACCATTTGATTTCATTATCATGATTATTAATTAGTATGATTCTTTTGTCACTAAGTGATGATAAGAATGTTTTACCTCTAAAAAAAACAATGATTGTTTTCTCTTTATCCATCTATCTATCTATCTATCTCCATCCGTCATTATTGTTAACCGATGAAGAAATATATCAAAAAAAAGAAAAGGAAAGAAAAGTAATCCGATTTGATGAGAAAATTTGGTGAATTTATTTCAAATATATATCTATATATAAGAAATGATTAGTTGTTTGGTGCTTTACATAATTGATCTCATTGTTTTAAATCATCATTCAACTCAATATATATATATATAAACGAATTACCTTTCACTGCTGCTTTCTGTTTCATGACTAGATATGATTGTTTCTTATTTCATTGAATATTTACAATCAGATAATTTATATGGATGAACTGCTGAATTTATTTAATTATTTTTTTCGCAAATATTTTAATTGTTGTTATGTAATTTCTTTCTTTTTGTTTTTCTTCTTCTTCTTCTTCTTCTTCTTCTTCAAAAAATATCATTTGGATATTTTGTCTAGTTGCTCAGTGTTACTAATTATCCCTCCCCCTCATATGTGTTGGATGATGGGTGGGTGGGGGGTTGCTGATTTCTCGCTTTTTATATTGAGTTGTAGTGTAAGTAGAAATACACATGTTGTTGTGTTTAGCAGTCAATTGCGTACTTTAAGTTGGTTTTTCTTATTGATATATATGTTATCTATCTGTTTACATTCAGTAGTATTTGTACTGGTATATATATTCTTTAGTGTGATCAACATTTCCATTTTCACTTACTATAATTATCGCTTATTTCTCTCTCTCTCTCTCTCTCTGATCCGCTCACTTGTTAGCAGGATTCATTACATGAGCTGTTTATTCTTTTGTTTTTTTTCCCTCTTCCTGTTTCCTCGTCATATTTTGTTGTTATTCTTCCTCATTATTTTTTGTTTGTTTTGTTTCTGTTCTCTAATGATAAAATTTATTTTTGAATCATTTGACTATTTTGTTTTTGTATTCCATAGTAATGGAATATCTTCAGAATAATTCCTAATCCTTTATATGTCTCTCATCTTTACAACCAATATTAATATCGTTCAGAAAATAGGAAGCATGAACTACAATGTGTCAATATATGGTGTAGATCACAAAGTGAATGCTAACACAAATACAAATGTAAACGTATGAATTAATAAGAGAGCGAATGAATCATTGATCTATATTAGTAACTAACTCTTCAAGTTAACAAGATGAATATGTATGAGTAGACTGCAACATGTGATCAAGCCTACATGCTCATAGAAGCATGATATTGATACCATAATGTACAAATTGTTACTGATCTAATGACTCTGTTAATTATAATAATTTCACAAGTTGAAATCATGAGTCAATTGAAGCTAGTCCACCATGGAAAACCTGGAAGCACTGGACGGCCGTTTCGTCCTATTGTGAGACTCCTCAGCAGTGCGCATCCATGGTCCCGTGGGATTCGAACCCAGAACCTACCGGTTTCGCGCGCGAGCACTTAACCACTAGAACACTGGTGGTTGAAGTTAGACATTAACACCGTTGGATGCCGGCTCAGTGGTCTAGTGGTTAAGTGCTCGCGCGCGAAACCAGTAGGTTCTGGGTTCGAATCCCGCGGGATCGTGGATGCGCACTGCTGAGGAGTCCCATAGTACGACGAAATGGTTTCTCGGTGGTTCCAGGTTTTCCATGGTGGTCTAGCTTCAATTGACTCATGATTTAAACTTGTGAAATTTCTAAAAAATCTCCACATAACCCATTCTGATAATTATAATAATTGCGAATAATAGCTTAACAAAGTGAAATGTTCACAGAAATAAAAGTGGATGTTGTGCTATAATGATTCCATCCTGTAAAAGAAAATACTAGTTTCTGTATTTGTAAAAAAATGTATTAAACAGGACAGAATAAGAATGATGTTAAAATATGAGATGAAGCTATGGTGCAAGTAAATATATGTCCATGTATATCTACGTCCGTGAAGCCATATAAAATAATGATTAAAAGAATCTGGTCGTTTTTAATAGATTATGCGTACAGTCATGAAATGATACAGAATGTGTCAAATCCAATGTAATGTAAATTTAATGCACGTACACAATATGAAAAAATGGGGAAGATGAAGGGACACATTCCGTTAGAAATTGGAAGAAGACATCAAAATAATGAATATCAACTGGACACTGCATTCTATGCTCCTCGACGAGGGGTAATAGACGTCGTAAGTAATGTACAATACGAAACGGAACAAATGATATTCGAAATGACTAATTCAGAATCGTTGCTACTATTTTACTCTTAGACCTTATCTAGTCATTACTAGGCTTTTCATTTCTGTCGTTCATGATTGGAACTCACGTCTGGGTGGAGAGATGATTTTTAAAGGGATCTAGGTGTACTGGCTGATCATCACTTCGATGAACGCTGCTTTGAATCGGTCGTTGCTAATTACAAACACAGCTAAAATAATTACTAGTAAATCCTGTATGTTACCTTAGCAGACTCTTATCAGTTAATTAAACTGCGATGATTCTTTATTTTTGTCAATCATTATGGTATAAGTTCAGTTCATAAACATTATGTAAGTCAATAGTTTCCAACTTGTGACGCCATAGGTTTCGTGTATTATAAAGTTGAGTCTAACAATTATTTTCACTGCTCAGAATAATAATCAGTTGCGTGGACGTTCGGAGATTTTTAGGCCTACAGCCTAATGCTTTATTTGTGTAGTCATAGAAACTAGGGGAACATTTTATACAGATCATTTTCCACTCTTCAAACAGATACGTTGGAGCGATTTTGCTGGGGTTTTTTTCGAAATACATTGCATAAATTCTGAAAGAAACGATGGAAACGATAATTCTTTTGAGTAAAATGTATTTAGATGTAATAACAAGATATTTTTCTGTTTATTAATAAGAATAACTTGTTAGTTGGTTGGAAGTAGTCGATACAGAACTCTAGCATAGGCATTGTTCTAGTCACCTTTCATCATCTTGACAGAATTGATGTACACTTTAACGCTTGAAACCGTATAACCCAGCCTCACAGTTTAATCTGATGAGTAAGATATTTACAACAGATTTGTGTTTGTCTAGCCCTTATTGCTCAATCCGTTCTGCCTATGACATTAGTTCCTAACTATTAACTTATCAATTCGAACTATTTCAATCACTTAGAAGGTTAATAGTGATCCGAATAGTTTTGATGGAGTTTTGTTCTCTGAGCTGGATGGTTTGGTCGTGGAGCTTTCATCGTTCTTCTGAACGACATCATCAGCACAAACTTCAGATAGACTTCTATCTGAAGTTTGTGCTGATGATGTCGTTCAGAAGAACGATGAAAGCTCCACGACCAAACCATCCAGCTCAGAGAACAAAACTCCATCAAAATCATCCACTTGAGCTACAAATTTTCTCCACCATCTCAAGATCCGAATAGTTTTCCAAGTAATGTCATGTAACCAGAAACATAGGTCCAAGGTTACATGCTAACTATTCCCAACCATTTAATATTACACCTCTTACACATAATGTTCAATTAAATAAAAATTGGACATCATATTGTTCCTGTTTTCCTCTTGTAGTATTTATCACTAATCTGTAGTTAAATTATTGTTTTAGCATATGAGTCATAGCACATTTTGTTCTATCTAGAGCTTAGACACTTGATACACCCCGTACAATTTGAGCATTCGAACGCTAGGACTCTCCAAGTCACAAATGAGAAGACAAGTGAGAAGGAATGCTATTACAAACAGTATCAATTATGGTGCAAAACTGTGAGGCATTTATAGTTTTTCGTAAAAACGAAATCATCATTATAGTCCTCCACTCCGCATACAGGAGGTTATTAGTATTTGTCCAATAACGAAGCTAGACGTAGGGATTTTGGAATATTCTTCCAAAAGATGGTTGGATGGAATATCTTCGCCTCTTTCTGAGCTTCTTAGAGCTTCCTCGAGTTCACTCGTGTACTGTTCTCACATATTTTAATTTAATCTTTATTTATCATCATAAAAGGATCATATGAGAAAAGAAATTTCGGACAGTATAGTATCAATCATCTGTATTATTATAGGATTTTAGCTTAATATTCATTATTATTGATAATTGACATGTAACCTTAGTAACTGTTTAAAAATTAGATGAAAGGTCATTCTGATAATTACTAAGTTATTTATCATCAAATATCTTTGTAATAAGTTGTACATGTTTCATAAAACTGTGTAGGTAACCGCGTTCAGTAGACAAAATTATTTAACTAAAAAAACAACGTAAAACAGAAAAATCTATGAAAGTAAAGATTTAGAAAAATGATAACGTGGAAGTTTGAATAGACCACTATCACCTCTGTATAAGATACTTACTTACTGACACACACATGTTACCCGTCGTGGAGGAGCATAGTCCGTTCATCAGCATTCTCCTCCTCTGTCCTAGACAATCCTTTCCAGTTACTATTCATTCTTGTAATGTCTGCTTCTAATCCTGGCTCAATGTATACTTTGATCTTCTCCTTTCCGTTTCTCTTCAAAATTCCAAGCTTACGCTTGCCTCGTGATGAAGTTTGGTTATTTCTGCAATGGAAGTCCTATCCACTTTTATTGTTTTTTTCCTGATCTCTTCAGATGGAACCTAGTTTGCCTTCTCCCCAACAGTATATTGTTGCTCATGATATCTGGTCAACGGATACTGAGTATCGTGCGAAGACGATAGTTTAGAAATACTTGTGCTTTTTCACTGATGTTTGTAGGAGCTCTCCAAGTTTCAGTTCCTCGTGCAGTACGACTGTCCTGACGTTCTTATTGAAAATTTTGACTTTGATGTTGTCTGGCAGATAGTCGTTTTGAGTTCCATATGTATTTGTGATTGGGTTAGTTTTCTCCGTGTTGTATTACAGGATCTTGGTTTTTCCCTTGTGCATGTTGGAGCCTATTGATTGAAAGGGTTCTGTATAAGGTAAGGATTCATAAAAACTACGATTAATATTGGTTATTATAAGAAATACGGAAGAGGTAATTTTAAACACAGTTAAATGTTCTTTTACTGAAAGATTTCCTCATGTGAAAAAAATTCGCGTTTACGTAATTGGTTCTGAGCGAATACTTTCATTGTGCAA